CCCCAAAACCCCAAAACCCCAAAACCCCAAAACCTTTTTATCATCACTTTATTTAATTTTAAATCTTTTTGATAATATGATATATTATTTTCAAGTTGACTTCTTATGATCATGCTTATTTTATAGGGTGGTAAGAAGAAATTTATACGTTCTTTAACTTATCATTCTCATTAAAACTGCCTCAAATCTCTCTTTGTATTTTGATTTGAGTTTGAGTTAGCGCTGGTTTACTAAACTCCATTCTATCTTATTCCTATTTTATATGGCTGCTTATAAAATTGATCTTTATTTAACGAGTTACCAGACCATGGTTTTTCTAGAATTGGCTATCCATTTGAATTTAGAGGTCCATTAGCATCTTTTTAATCTGATGCTAGCATTGTTTGATTTTATCCATCATTAAGCACTGATGCTTCACCAAATTTTCTAGTCGTCTCATCAAGTCTATCGTCTTTATTTTCAACTTTATTTCTTCTTTTGCAGCATATTATTATTCCCCAAATAATACTCAATAAAATAAGCAAGCCAATTACTCCTGCTAAAGTAAGTCCCACAATATAATAAGTAAAACCATTAGGCCCATAAATAAGCTTTTCCCAATAATTAAATTCAGTTCCAACTACTTGAAATGAAAACTTAAAAGTAGTTGTATCTGCTTTATCAGTTACAGGAAGAACAACAAGCATAGCCTCTGTACTTATATCGATGGAATAAACTTAGCCTATAATCAATGAAGCATTAGCTGTAGTTTAATTTAATGAGGCGTTAGTTCTTGAATTTCCCCCATATAGAAAAGCGCGCACATCCGATTGATTTTAAATAACAACTTTAATTTTTGCGCCATCTTTCCATGTTCCTCCTTCTACTTTCAAGTGGTAGTAGCAAGAAAGGTAGTTAACTGTATTTTAAACTGAGACTTTATAAGGTAGTTTCGAAACTGTTACTGTTTTATTTGACCCAGTCCCAATTAGTTCTAATGAATCAACTCCGCATGAAGGAGGACTACCTGCACCTTTACAATAAGTTAAAAAGAAGTTGCCAGCCCATATTCTTGTAGGCGAACATACATTATTAATAGTTGAATTTGTTTAGCATTTAGCATTTGTGTCCCCTTGATTACAGCAGTACTCGCTTACAGTATTTTACAAGCAATATGATGCTGTAGTAGATTTTAGAAAACATGCTTAACAATCAAACATTCCCGATGTAAAGGTTTAGAGACTTCTCGCTGCTGATTATTCATTAAGAGTTTATTCTTATCTAAAGGTTTAAAATGAAAGTGTGTCACTAGCCAACAAATTTAGCAGCATGATTACCAGATTTCTTTACAAATTGGACATTTTATTAAATTGAAAGTATTTTTAGCTAATTTCTTAACAATCATCAATTTTATGAACATTTTTAGTAACTTGGGGTTTTGGGGTTTTGGGGTTTTGGGGTTTTGGGG